CTCCCGCCGGCTTTTCCCTTTTCGCTCTCCTTCCTCCTTCCACTCACCTGCGCTACCTGCCTCTCGCGCTCGCTCCCAGGTAAGCGCCAGGCGCGTAATCTGTTCGCGAGGCGCCCCGGGGCATCGTGACGCCCGTAGGAATTCCGATTCGGGTGACGGGGGCCTGTGACGCGATTAATACAGGCCTGGCGGTGGCTGGATCCGCGAACGGTCTTTTCCGTGTTATTGCGAGGGGCCCGACATAACGTGCCCCGCTGTCCCAATTATCGGGCGCCGATCGGAAGCTCGCGAGACTTTGCATGAGCTGGATATTAATACGATCCTTCGTCCTCTTCATTTTTCCTTACGGATCCCTGCCTGATACAGTTAGTAGAATGTTCCGGAATGCGATAGCATCCGCGTTTCCGCTGCATTTGGCATGAATATGATTCGCGGCGAGCGACATAAGATTGAAATTATTTTGACCCAATTGTCCATATGTTTTACATACACTTGCTATGACTCCACTTACGAACACTAATGATCTCTTTTTAGGAAATCTCAGCTCACCCTTATCCTCGTTATCACACTCCTCGTTACGCATTATCAATGTGCGCATATTTCATAATCGTCTTGTAATTTGGCGAGTCGCAGATTTTTCCTCGCTTGCGACTGAAATTGCTTCGCATACGAAGCGACGTAGAGTCCGATAAGAGAGCGCGGACATTCTTATCGGGATGGAATTATTCGAGCGGTCAGCGGGCTCTCGCGAGTCGCCCGAGCTCACGGGCCTAAGGAGCTCCGTTAACTCGAGAAATTACTCCAGGTTATTAGGCGAGAAAAGGGCTCGAGCAAACGGCACATCGAGGGCCGGGGAGATGTGTGAGCGATTTCGAGGTCTCGAGGTCAGGACGTCTCAGGCGAGTGAAGCGCCCTGGATGTGAGACCCACCTGTTTTGACGGTCAGAAGCCGCAATTCCCACTTTTAGTCGAATCCTTGACCCCACCTGCTGAGACGACGTAGAGCAGCGAGTGTCGAGCGGATGCAGCGCCTCGATGTGTACTCCCGTGCGTTCCTCGGTTCCTTCGATGCGCACACGCTTACGTTCTTATCTCAAACTCCTCCTCCTCCTCCTCCTCCTCCTCCTCCTCCTCGTCTTTCTATTTCCGCGCAATATTTATTCGCCCTCGAGCCGAACATCTCCTTCCAAAGTTTGTCAATCTTTCCTCTCACGTGCTCCCAACAGCGTCTCCGAGACATTAGTGTCGTATCAATAATAGTCCCTCGTTCCCGCGACCGCCACTTTTTCGGAGACCGGGCGAATGGAATTTATATTACGTCCCGTCTCTCTCACTGCTCCATACTCATTTCAAGCTCGGAACTGTTTATTTTTCTCAAATGCCGAAGAGGAGCGGCGATTAAATTTATGAATTATTCCAACGACCGACTGGCCATTACTAATTATTAACTGATATATTTAAAACTCGCGCTCGATAATACGTTGGGCCCTCGTACTTTGGGGATTAACTTATAACTTAACGAAAAAAAAAAAAACTATGGCATGTATGTAATAATTAATGCTTAAATAATTTTCTTATTTATCGTATGCTCCTTGAATTATCACATTCAAATCCTCCTATTGTGTGTTTATGATGGTTTTTTTTTTTTTTTTTTTCGTTTGTAAGAATCAAATACAACTTTAGCATCAACAGTTTTGTGTCCTTGCCTCAAGATTTACATAAGCATTATCCTACTTATTTTTATTACGGCTGAACAGGCATTTAACATTAAATGCAACTTACGATTGAATGGTGGATTCTATTATTATTTAAGTGCAAAATTATTCGCAATTCAAATCAACCATTACTTAGCCTGAATTCTCGTAAAAGTCTTGAACGCCGTTTAAATATCATTCGTGCCTATGTATCCTTAAAGTATTTATATTTGTGAAATAGCTGGTAATTTTTTTTTTTTGTTTTTTTTTTTTTTTTTTTTTTTTTTTTACATAATTCTTTGTTCACCGTTGAAATCTATAAAAATATATTTTCCCCGAAATGTTTTTATAATAGCTTAAGATATAATAATTTCTTTAAAAACAGATTTGAATAATCAAAATACTATTTATAATATAGCGTGCCACTTGAAGCGAATGATTCTATTTAAAATATTCGAGCGTTGATAATTAAGGGGGTTGGGGGCGGGGCGGAAGGGGGGAGGGGCGGCGGCGGAGGAATCGCTCATAATCAATACTAGAAGAAAATATATTTTTAGAATACTTGAAAATGTACAATATGATAAATTTATAAAATCTTCTACGTTTATATTTATTCGTTTCGTCTCTCGTTTCTATATATAAACTGAGCCATAAGGAAATCAATTTTTGTTTTTTTGACACGCACGATGATGTATAAATTACTTCATTTGTAACATACAAGTGTAATTAGCCTGTATGTACCAATGTAACGGTAATTCTAAAGACAGAGTAGACCGTCTCATCCTCGAAAAGTATGCAATAAAGGTTTTAGAGGAATTAGTGCCATTACCATTTCGGTAATAAGAATAATAAATAATAGTATTAAAAAATAAGAATAATATATTTATCGTTTTATAATTAAAACATTATATGTGTTTGAATAATTGTTTAAATGTACTTTTATTTTAATTTATATATACTTCACCGTTTATTCACGAACATCAACAATTATCTATCGTAGTACTAGTCATACGATTTTACTTAAATCTAAACGGGATGATTTTTTTAATACTTGATTGTTGTTTAATCATTCATTTAATGTGCATAACAAATATTTATGATAAAAATATCGAAACTCATAATCGCTGAGACCGAAAATAATTCTAAAACTCAAGTAAAACGTACTTTAAGCAAGTGTATTTAATAATTGCTGCTCGCACGTTTTTTCTAACCTGTAAATGTAATATTCTTATTATTCACATTTTTATTCGATTAAATTCACTATAAAATTAGCTCATGTCAAAAGATTTATAAGCGAAACAACATAAATGTACTGTACGATAATGATTCGTAAATGATAATTTCTGAATTTTTCTTATTATTCGTCAAAAAGAAAAAAAATTGTAACTTAAATTTTTTATGATAATAAATAACGAATATTATATTTCTGTATTATTGTATAATAAA